GGGGGGGGTGTCCTCACCAGCCGCCAGCGCACAGCCCTCTCCTCCCAGGAACCACCTGCTCACCTTGAGTGGGTCACAAAATCATAGATTGGGACCTCGACTGTTTTGCCCTCCACGATGTTTTTCAGAGTCCTGTGCATCAAATCGTTATCAAAAGCATCTGCAGGGATGGAACAAAAGGCAAGACAAGCCTGTGTCCTGGTGCTGGGGAGCGCAGGGGACTCGCTCTGCCCTGGGGTCAGCACAGCTGGGTGCTGGTGCTGCCAGTGGCCCTAAGGAACAGCTGGACTGGGAGCTGCCCCCTACAGTTTACATTTGCAGGGCCCTCTGCAAACCACAGGGTGGACCTGTCCTCGCTGCCCTTGGGCAGTGCTACCACCCAGGAATCGGCCAGCCCTGGGAGGTAGGTGGGCTAGGCGTCTGCTTCTCTCTATTTCTGGGAAATAACACAGACTGATGCTTCTCAAACCTTTTTCCCACGTGTCCCCTGGGAAGGAATGAAGATGGGAGCCAGCCACTGGGTGGAATCTTCTAGCAGCAGCAGGAAGAGGCAGCCTGGCTGTTCCCCCTCATCCACCCCATCTCCACCTGTTCCCCCGGCCCCCGACCAGACCAGGAAACGGAGTTTCAAGGCCTCTGGTTCTTGTTTACCCACTGCTTCCACTGCTGGCCTCTTGAGGACTCTGCTCCAGGGCAGGTGGCGGAATGAAAGGCCACAGTGGACGCGGTCTGTGCAGAGGACCCTTAACGTGGGAAGATGCATGGCTTTCTCCGTGACCATAGTCGTGGCAGAGCAGTGGTCCCGAAGGCCCTTCTGAGGCGCAGACTCCCTGACTGGCTCCAGGGGAGCCTGGAGCTCCGGCAGGGCCACCCAGGGCCCAGAGAGCGCGGGAAAGACGCTCCACCGCGGGTTATCTGGGCGATTTCATGGAACCACTTAGGTCTCTTGCTATCCAGGTCCAACCCTGGACCCAGCCTCCGTGGTCTGCCCGCCTTCCCCACTCCCTCCCCACCCTCAGGGTCTCTACCTGGATGGTCGAAATTGTACTGTCCCTTCAAGGCCTTGGCCTTCTGTTCCGTGGTCAGGACCTTATAGAACCTGTCTTGACTCAGGATGACCAACTTCCGCTGCCGGTGGTCTACTTCGTTCTGTCCCAGCAGCTCCATGATCTTCTCGCACACAGTTGACTGGGAACACACACACACAGGATCCCCGCCTGGAGACGCTCACCCTGACCCACGAGCTCCAACGGGCTGCCAGGCCGGCCACTGACAGCCCGGCCAGTGCTTGGCGGGAAGGCCTCGGGGCACTGGCAGGGGCAGCGCGGGCCCGGAGGCCACGAGAGGCCAGGCCAGCGGGAGGCTTGCGGGGGGGCCCCCGAGGTCCAGCGCCCCGCTCCCCGCCTGCGCCCCAGCCTAAGTTTGGCCAGCCGTGGCCGCAGCCCACGCCCGAGAGGGGCCACCTCGGCAGCCAGGGGCTGGGGTCTGTCTCTGGATGGAGGCCGGAGTTCCAGGGGACCGGCGTGACACCCAGGCCCCGCCGCGCCGCCCAGCCCCTTACCTTGCCGCTTGCAGTACCGCCGCTCACCCCGATCAAGAAGGGCCGCTGGTGAGGACGGTCGGCCTCGTGCGCGGCGCCCTCGCAGCCGCCGCCTCCAGCCGAAGCCATCTCCAGCGCTGCTCGCCCGCATCGGCTTCCCAGCTCAGGCAGCCTCCCCCAAACCTAACGGCCCGCCCCCGCGCAAAGGTCGGAGACGCCCCCCCCCCCCCCCCCGCCCGATGCAGGGGACGCAGGTTCGTGCCCCGGTCCGGGAGGATCCCACATGCCGCGGAGCGGCTGGACCCGTG